GTTTCCAAACAGAATGTAGTTTTCAAAAGCATTAATGTAATGTATAGTTATGTCATTTTCCCAGTTGTGGAAATGGGTGGGTAATAATGGTAATGAATAAAAAATATAAAAATGAGTAATGTTTTAGTGATAGATTTTAATCTGAATTTTCTTTAAAACAATTTTTATTATATGCAATATCCATTCTTATTTGTTGTTAATTTTGTTGAGAATTCCCTATTAACTAATCTCAGAAGTCATTGCCTATCAGAGTTCTGAAATATGCTCAATATAAAAGCAGTAAGTCTTATTTCTCGTTGACCTTTCAACTCTACTGTCTTGTCTAAAAATCAAAGCACATCATAGACAGTGCTCTTAATCAGGGCTAACTATCCAGATTGTGTTTCTATAGAACGCTTGATCCTAAAGTCCTTCTTGTTTCCATTTTTTTTTTTTTTGGAGTTGTTTGCAATCTATGCATTTCAATGTTTTGTCATTGATGACAGAAGAAAAATTAAGTAAATGAAGGTTTATTTTTCTATGTTCAGTGGCTTCTATTTTCCTATCATGTCTCTAACACCATTGTGGAAAGGTAATGGGTAATTTGGTAGAACATATTTTTTAAGGGTTTATCTGTTGGGCGAATATTTTTAAAAAGTCAAGTACATACACACCTGGCAGTGAATAAATAGATTTTCTTAAAATATTATTCCATAATAAAGAGCTATTTCCAATGGTAAAGCAATTAAATTCAATATATTTTTTTTTCCTGAGCCTCTGTACAAATTCCATTGAACTGATTATACAGACCTTTTTTGTTATGTTGGTTGTTTTGGTTAAATAGCAACTTCCTATTCAGTTCAGTTTTGTTTAGGTTTTTAAACTGAAAAGTTGTTTGTAAACATAGTTAACAAAAGTACTCATTTTAAAAATTCTGAAAAGCATAGTACTCTGAAAAGCAGACCACTAGCAAAGACATTGTTTGCCTTTTGAGCTTTCCCAATCTTCTCCTATTTTATAAATTATCTGTGTGGGTACTTACAAGGTGCCAAATAAATGACTGAAAAGGAAAATATTTTCATCATTTATCTACTTGATAGAAACAGCTTGTTAAACTAATCCATTGCCTAATTTATCCAGTCACATGAGATGGATTGGGTATGGTTTGTATATGTGCCCATGTTATTACATTCCCCAGTGTCTATAAATAGCTCATTTGGGGTGCTTTGTAGCAGGGACATGTATATGAGAGAATACTATAAATGAGTCTATTAAAAACCTTTTCCAAGTCAGAGAATATTCATTGTGCATTGATATTTCAAAACTGCTTTTCTAATACCCCCATCAGATTAAAATACTGTTTAAAATAAGCTACTTAAAGCAGGGGAAGCTACAACTATAAAATACAAAATGTGATAGTCACACTTTTTAATCTACTCCAACTCAATATATTTTAAATATATGTATTTTTCCCTGACATACCCTAAAAAAAAAAAATTCTTAAGCCTTAACATGCTAAAATAAAATGACACAATAGTAATGAAGTGAAATGAACTGACAATTCATTTAGCCTATCACTCTATAGCGTTTACAGCTACACAGTGATAAAATTCCCAAAGGCTTTAGTCTTTAAATTGCTAAGGCTATCTAAATTTCCACTGCCGCAATACATTTTTCTTTCCCGTAAGTGTAATGAAAATGGCATTTTTCTCAGGTAGATCTAGCTGTTCGCTGAGTGGTTTGTTCTAGAAAAGCAACAGGCTTTTCCCCCTACCTTATAAGAAGCAACAGTTAGAAACTCTAACTAGAAAACTGCTACCCCACAGTGGTTGGAAACAGCCAATAGAGAAAGAGACATTATGATTTCGATCGATGTTGAAACAGCTTCAGGAGGAAGGAGGCAATATGAAATAAAAGAATGTTAACTCTTCGCGATGAAAAATTGCGCTGTGTTCCCTACACATTACTGTAGCCCTCTGCCTTGCGCTCCCTCTTCCACCGTAACTGATCATCAGGCTTTCCTCCGCATGCTTCGGTGTCTAAGGCAAAACCAAGCTTGGTTCAACTTAAACTCGCAAGATGCAGCAAGACAAATCCATCAACCCTCAGGTGGGAAAAATGCAAGCCTCTCCCCAGAAGCCGGCTTGTACTTCCGTGCTAGCAGGCCAGCAGGGGCCGCGGCCCCAGCCTGTTGCACCTGCCGCCCCGGGTGCTGGGGTCTGGGAAGGGCGAGGACGCCGGGAAACCTCCTGTGGGCTTGGGTGCATGGTGCCGGGCCCTGCGTGGGTCTGGCTTGTTCGCTGCGGGGATCGCGACTGGCGAGGAGGTGGCTGCGGGCCACGGTGCGGGGGCCCGCGGGTGCAGGCCAGCCGGCCGCCGGCAGATGGTGCCCTGCGCCTCGCGACACCCTAGGAAACCCTGCGAAAGTGCCGCTGACTCCGCCCCACCCGCTCCGCCGGCGCCAGTCGCCCGTCCTTCCCCAGATAGTGCCGAGCACGTTTCCGCCTGAACACTGCAGTAGCCCACACCGGCGCCAGCAGGGCGTGTGTGCCAGAGCAGGGAGCGCGCCTGGAGCGGGATCCCGGGGCCGGGGCGAGGTGACCGCCAACCAAAGGCAGAGGGCACGGGGACCGGTGCATCTCGCATCTGCGTAAGCGCGGCCGCCCGGCCAGTCGCGAGGCCACTCACCATGTTCACTTCGGAGACCATGTCTATGCTGGCGACATCGATCCTCATCCCGACGTCCACGGGGGGCCCTGCGGGGGACAGGGGCACATTGTGGACATAACCTCAGAGCGGCCACAGGCTGCGGAGGGGCAGAGGGCTTCCCGGCGCTTCCTACATTCTGAATGGGTTCCCACCACCCCCGTCCCTCCACCCCGCTGCGGGGGACAGCCTCAGAGAACAGGTGTGGGCACACGCATGATGCAGTGACTATGCAGAGGGTGTGTCGGGCCGGGGGGAGGTCTGCTCTGCCTGGGGTTCATCCACCTGAGCCTGGGGGTCGGCGTATGTGAGTGTGTGTGAGCGCGCGCGCGTGTTTGGCCAGAGCATAGGGCGTAGTGCACGCTGACGAAAATGACACGCTTCTCCTAATTTTTTCTGACATTTATCTTCGCCAGGAAAGGAGAACTAGATATGGGTTACAGGTTGAAAAAAAAAAAAAAAGATGAAGCATTACCTCCAAAGTCCGGCCGCAAGCGAATGTCATATCCTTTGAGCAATCTGTCCACTGTCTCTTTCACGTATGACATGTTGCTGGGCTCGTTGGCGCTGAAGGGAAGAAGTAGGGACCGGATTCAGAATGAGCACGAACTGCAAGCGGACATAGAAACAGACAGGCACACCTACCCCCCCAAATAACGAGCTACAGGAGCGAGCAAGCCCGTTAAAAGGAAACACCTGGGGAAAAAGAGACGTTCAACGGCAGCTGCTCACCTGTGTGCACAGCAGACCATGGCAATCATCACAGGGAAAGAGAGGAGCCCCAGACTCTCTCGATTTTGTACTGTCCACATTACTAACTCTGATTAAAGAATTGTCTTTTCTGCGAAGATTCAAGGAATGCAACTTAGTCGGCGGCAGGGCAGTAATTCCCGAATGGACCTGCGCATGCGCAGAGGGTGCTCACTCCCGAAAGACACCTGGTGCCTTGCAAACAATATTCCTAGTGGAACAGGCAACAGATTTCAGTTCCTTCAAAGTTCCTGTCTGTGATGCTCCGCGTTCTGCGATAGTAAAGATACCCTGCTGTTTCTTTGCTTCGGATCCTACGTGCATATGAACACGAATCTCTCTTTGTGCACTGGAGGTGGCTATGTTCATTTCCTTTCTGCCTCCAAACCGATTTTTGTACTCAATTCCCAGGGATCTGGTTTAGGCTGCCTGTGATTGGCATATTTCGTTGACAGTCACGGTAATCTTCGAACTGGGCGTCCGGAGGCGAGGTGGTTCTCTGCGTGCGTGTATGTGTGAGTGATGGGGTGAGGGGAGTAAGGGGCCGAAGTGAGTGGAGGGCGAGAGCCAGAGAACCTCAGGCTTATTTGTTCAGGCTCTCCTGAAAGGGTGTCTGGCTTGGCGTCCTCTTTCTCTTTCCCAGGAGGAGGAAGAGGAGCTGGTCGACTATTGCAGCTGCTCTCCCGCTCCCCCGCTGTCTTCCCTCCCCCCTTCGTGTCTCACCAGGCAAGAGAGGTGAGAGAAGCCAGCCATGGACCCGCACCTCGGACAGGCAGTTCTTTTTCTGAGTCATTGGTCGCATTTTCTTCTAGGTTCTAGTAAAGAAAATATCTTTTTTATTGCCGAGTGTTAAGCTTTGTCAGTAACCCAAAATAGGACCCTGAAACACCTAGAGGGTCTAACGTCTGTTTACTGGTTCTGATTGGGGTTCTGGAGGAACAAGAGCTATTTGAATTCAGTTCAGTCAATACAATTCGATAAAAGTCACTGAGCATATGTCAAGCAGGGATCCCTTTACTAGGCATTTGTTCATAGATTAAATCTTTTACTATGTTCTAGGAATTCTGGGACTCAAAGACAAAAGATTTCTGACATTGGGAAATTCACAGGCTCTTGGGAAAGATGGATGTAAATATATGTAAATTCAATATATCTCTATATAGTTTACATAGTGGCAAGAGGGTTGTTAATTCTACCAAAGTGAAGTAGACAGGGTTTCTGGAGAAAGAAGTTTTTTTGCCAGAGCAGAGAGGGAGGGAAATTCCAGAAGGAGGGAAGAGAATATGCCAGAGACTTGAAAGAGACTGACAGACTATGAGACTTGAAAGCCCGTGGTCTGCTTAAATAGCTGAACCCTGAAATGACTGAGCAGAATATAAAAGGCTGAAAGGAGGGAGGGAGGGAGGCACTCAGGGTGGTGAGGGAGCAAAAGGAAACCAAGGCTAGACCAGAAGGAAAGCTCCATTCTCCACTATGCACATTTAAGCTTCTGGAAATCACTCACAGCTTTAAGTAGCGATGGTCAGGGTCAGATTTAGGTTTTAAAATATTCTGATAGAATAAACATGGTAAGAATGATTAACCTTCATCAGTTGTGGACTATTTGCTGGTTATCATGTACATTACATAGATGATCTCATTTAAACCTGGTAGTAATCCAAATGTTATTACTATTACTATTATTATAATTTTATAGATGATGATACTAAGAACAAATCAAGGTAATGTAACTAGTTTAATACCAAACTGCTAATAAATGATGAAATCAGCATTTTAACTCAGAATCCGTGGACCTATCTGCTGTATTCTATGAAACATAGATCCCAAGAGGAAGAACCAGAGATGCTGAAAACAAGGAAGAAGAATTATTACGGTAACACCAAGCAAAAAGAAACGAAGTCAGATAGTGTTTAGCATAGAGAGGAGGTGATAGACCGGTACAAGTTTTCAGAAATATAATAGAATCATCAAGTAGTTGTGAAGGTCAGGATTTGCAGACTTTTGAAAGCGGCCTAAACAATTATACATACATTTACACATGTGTAGATTTTGACATTCTATGTATATATTATTTTTATTTTTTCTTTGAGGCTCATGACAACTATAAACACTATGGCCTTTTCTTCTGGCACCAGCATTAACTCAATCAATTTTCTTAATTGACTTAAAACTGTGTCATCTACCTTTTTTAATTCATGTGGATCTGCTTTTAATGAGTGAAAGAGAGGATTTGCTTATGCTACAGGTCCTGGTTGAAGCATAGAACCCCTCTGTGCTGCACAATGCTGCAAAAGCTGCACTGGAGAAAATAAAATATATGGAGAGTTTATTTTACTCACTTATTCCTCAAATATTTATTGAACATTTACTAAATGTCAGACTCTATGCTGGTGGTAGAACAGCAGAAAAGAAAGCATACAGAGTCTCCTTCCACATGGAATTTGTTAATTGACCCATCTATTGGAAGTTGCAAATTTTTATCCTTGGTAGTCAAATTCAGTTTGTAAAAGATGTCATTGGTTAGGTGTTTGCTATATTTTTTAAATTTATATAGCTTTTACTGGGATATATGTTTTCCAGTTGATTATAAACCTCAATCATTATTTTTGAATAATAACTAGGATTTTATTTAGCAGTATTAGCCAAAAGGTAAAAAATAATGGATAAGTACCTATAATATAATCAGTCAGCATTTACAGAATGATTACTAAACATCTTTTCTCTTATGTATGCTTACAAAAACTGAACAATTAAAAGAAAATGTTGATAGAGCTGCATATATCATTTTAGAGTTATTTTTAAAACATATACTTGTAAAGTAATTAATCATAATACTTAAGAGGCACTTCAATTGAAGTATAGGACTACTTAATTAAATAGAGGTATGATATTGCAATCTAATTATAGTAGAAGTGTGATATTGCAATGAGACAATAATTTTTGAAAAAGAATAAAAAAGGAAGAAATTAAGCTATCCTTATATCCATATGTTAAATTTATCTAGAGAGAAAAATCCAATGAAGTCTCCAAATGTATAAGAATACAGTGAGTTAAACCAGACTTCTAACTTCAAAAGCAAACACATTAAGTACATATTAGTAGTATTCCTGTACATAACTCCTACAAAAAGACACCTAAAATGGAAAACATTCTATTACAATAATAGCAAAAATTCTAATGTATCTAGAAATAACAGAAAAAAGTGTAAGAGCTTTATAGAGAATCTATATAATATTTTTGAAGGACATAAGAGCTAGCTAAATGAAAATTATGTGGCTTGGGAGAGTCAATATTATAAAGATATTGATTCTATCCAATATAAGAAATATAATCAATTTGAATTAAAATTTCTACATTTATTGTGAAAATTAAGACCAGTTCTAAAATATAAATGCAAGAGTAAAGAGTGAAAAATGCAGAAAGAATAAAAAAAAGACAAAATTTGGAAGATAAAAAGTATATGGGAGCACTTGACTTTGAGATATCAAAATTTTTGAGACATTGAAATTAAAACAGTTTCTGTTCAGTTTGAAATTCATTTAGATATAGAAAAGCAGAAAATAGCACAGCCAAATAAACAGCATAAAAATATTCTATTTTAGGAAAGATAGGAAAGAATAAGATATTCAATAAATGTTGTGGGGACAATTTATTATTCATAAAGGGGGAACAAAGTAAGCGTTTACATTGTTGCCTGCACAAAAATGTATTACAGGTGGACACATAACTGAAATATAAAACCAAAACTTTAGAAAAATCTTGTAAGAAATATATTTATGATTTTGGTTCAGGGAAAGACTTAAAAGGGGCTTCCCAGGTTGGCTCAGTGGTAAAAGAATCCGCCTGCCAGTGCAAGAGACTCAGGAGACATGGCTTTGATCCCTAGGTTGGGAAGATCTCCTGGAGGAGGAAATGGCAACTCACTCCAGTATTCTTGCCTGGAAAATTCCATGGATAGCAGAATCCAGAAGGCTATTGTCCATGGGTCACGAAGAGTGCTAATGACTGAGCACTTGAGCACAAAGATTTAAAGATAAATGAAAGTATTAATATAAATTATAAAAGGAAACTCTAGTAGTGATAACTACAGAAAATATAACCTTAAAATCAAAAGATCCTTTAATATAGTGAAAAGTCAACCAAAAGGTGTTTTCAGCAAACTTAACTGCCAAAATATTAGTATGAAGAAATTATCAAAAAAAATAACAATTTTCTAGAAGTCAATAAAAGAGAGAGAAAGGAAAAAGACAATGAGCCTCTCTAAATGAGGGATTGATTGCCAATTAAAACAATAACTTGGGGGTGGTGGTGTAGTCTCCAAGTGGTGTCTGACTCTTTGTGACCCCACAGACTGTAGCCCACCGGGCTACACCTGCCCATGTGATTCTCCAGGCAGGAATATTGGAGTGAGTTGCCATTTTCTTCTCCAGGGGGTCTTCCTGACCCAGGGATCGAACCTGGGTCTCCTGCATTGCGAGTGGGTTCTTAACCAGCTGAGCCACCAGGGAAGCCCTGGAGCAATGACATAGCATTCCAAATATATCAGATATGAAAAATTTAAGAATGTCAAATACTGGTTAGAGATGCTCAGATAAGTACTTTCAGGGGGGATATAAATGGATCTGAATACTTTATAAAGAAATTTGTGCATGTCTGATAAAGATGCACACACCATTTGGCTCAGGATTTCCAGCACTAGGAATACACCCTAGAGACATATTCATGCAATCTAAGAATGTTGTTTGCAGTGTGGCTTTTAATAGTACGAAATTGGCAGCAACCTAAATATTTATCTGTTGGGAATAAATATATAGTTATATAATAGAATAAAACACTCAATATATAAAAAAATCTATATACTTTTGCACAGATAAATCCCAGCATAAAACATTAAGCAAAAACAAAACAAAATAAAAAGAGCTAGGCATGGAATGAAACAAATTGGCAGCATTAAGTAAAGTTAAAAACATTAAGTGAAAAAATCAGAATATATATTACTTGATGCATATAATACAGATTTTGGATAATAGATACTGTAAAGATAAATAACAAAATAAGAAGGGTACTAGCTTTTAGGATATAAAACATGCTTCAACTCTATCTATACTTAATCCAAGAAAAAAAACTCAAGCAAATTAATCAAAACATGAGATATATATAGATATGATTCTGCTCTCTCTATATTTCTAGGTATTTAAAATATTTTATAAAAACTCATTAAGACTAATAAGTAACGAATTGGGAAGATATATCTGTAGTATCTATTATTAAAATATTGAAACACATCAGTAAGGGAAAGAAATAAACCTAGTAAGTAAATGGGCAAATGATTTTAAGAGGACTCTCACAAAAGAAATTTCCAAAAATAATATTAAAAAACATCAACCTTGGTAATAAATAAATAAAATAATTAATTAATACAATTTTTAAAAATACATGAAGTACTATTTTTATTCACTAGTTTTCTATTTAAAAAAAATTTAGCCTCAAGTATCATGAATGTTTTGGAGAAAGATAATTGCATACCCTTTGGGGGCAGGATAAGTTACCGCAATCTATCTTAAAGGACAGTTTGTAATATTGTCATGTAATATGCAATTTTCTGAATCTACCTGTGGAATTTGCATTCTGTTTAATTGATCAGTGTTTCTGATTTAACCTAATGTGTGTATGTATATATACATATGATATATATATATCATATGTATATGTCATATAATACCCTGGGGAAGGGAATGGCTACCACTCCTGTATTCTTGCCTAGAGAATCCCATGAACAAAGGAGTCTGGCGGGCTATAGTCCATGGCGTTGCCAGGAGTCAGACATGACTGAGTGACTAATCACAAACACAGACATATATCATATATATTATATTAACTTATGCATATATCACATTCAATATAATATTTAATAATTATTTAAAATATGTCTACATTGTGAAATGCTTACCACAACCAAGTTAATATAGCCATCACCTCACATAGTGACCTTTTTGTGTATAGGTGTAATGAAAACCCTTAAAATATAATCTCTTAGATTTCAATGATTATTGAATGATCATCTATAATGATTATTATTATATATGCAATGATTATTATCTATAATGCAGCCATGAAATTAAAAGACACTTCCTCCTTGGAAAAAAAGCTATGACAAACCTAGATAGCAAAATAAAAAGCAGAGACATCACTTTGCTGAAGAAAGTCTTTATAGTCAAAGCTATGGTTTTTTCAGTAGTTATGTATGGTTGTGAGAGTTGAACTATAAAGAAGGCTGAGCACCAAAAAACTGATGCTTTTGAACTGCAGTGCTGGAAAAGACTCTTGAGAGTCCCTTGGACAGCAAGATCAAACCAGTCAATCCTAAAGGAAATCAACCCTTAATATTCATTGGAACTGATGCTGAGGGGGAAGCTCCAATACTTTGGCCACCTGACTCAAAGAGCCAACTCTTTGGAAAAGACTCTGATGCTAGGAAGCATTGAGGGCGGGAGGAGAAGGAGGTAACATGGAATGAGATGGTTGGATGGCATCACTGACTCAATGGATATGAGTTTGAGCAAACTCC